TGGTGCGGGGCGTTCAGTGCCAGGCTCGGGGATGGGGGCGGCGCGGCAACGATAGGGGTGTCCATCCCTGCAGGCGGCTCGGCCGTGCGTGCGTGCGTCGCGCGGGTTGCGGCCGCTGCATGGCGACCCGGGTGTCCCCCTTCTCGCCCCTCCCCACCCACCCGTCCCACCGCGCGCGCGCGCGGGTCAGTTGTGCGAGGTCATGTGCCTGGACAGGTGGTGCCGCTCGCGGAACGACTCGTTGCAGATGGGCACTTGAGCTTCTCCTCCGCCGCCGCTTCACCAGGGGCTCCATGGCGTACTCCTTCTTGTGGTGCGACGCATGTGGTACCCAGGTCGGACGTCATGCGGAAACGAGGCGTTGCACTGGGCGCACCGTGCCAGTTCTGCGCGGGCAGGCACAGCGATCGTGAAGGACGGCGGCAGCAGCGTCAGCGCGGACGGCCAGCTGCAGGGGGCCGGTGGTGGCGCCGCCGCCGCCGCAGCCGCAGCCGCCGCGGCGGAGCTCTTGGGCCAGAAGGCGGTGGCGTAGAGGAACGGGCTTGCTTGGCAGCCAGCCCCCGCCGCCCCCGCGCCCGCCGCCGCCGCCGCGCCAGCGCCCCGAAGCCCCCGCTTCAGGTCCCGCGGCGCCTGCAGCTTCACGCGGCGGCCAGCGCAGGGTCGGCGGCGCGGCGGGGTACAGTCTGGTGGGGCCCACGCCGTCGCCGCCCGGGTGGCACGGCGGCTCCACGCGCGCCCAGCTTCTGGCACAGCAGGAGCGGCGACAGCTGCGCGAAGGAGCGCGCGGGCTGCGAGAAGGCGCTCTTGCGCTCGTCGGGGCGCCGCCGGCGCCCGGCCGGTGCCGCGCGCCCCGGGTCCCCGCGTTCCCGGCCGCCGCCCAGCTGCGGCACCGACGTGAAGGCGCTGCCCCGCGCGGGCTGCCGCCGTCCAGCCGGCCGGGCAGCGCGCGCCGGGCGCCCGCGGGCCAGCAGCTTGTCCGCGACGACGCAACGCCCCCGACGACGGCGGCGACGCGCTGCGGCGTGGCGGCCCCTCCGCCACGCCTCCACCACCCCCGCCACCCCCGCCGCCGCCGGCAGCGTCCTGGTCCTCGTTGGCGACGCCCGCGCCGTCCCCCGCCGCCTCGTCCTGCTGCGCGGCCACCGCCGCCGCGCGCGCCGCCTTCTTCACCTCCACGAAGGCGCTGCGCTTGGCCTCGCCCGTCTCCGGGCTGGGCGGCGCGGCGAAGAGCCGGCCCCCGTGGTCCTCCAGCCCGAAGTAGCTGCCCGCGGCGCGGAACTGCTGCGGGGTGCACACCAGGTCCTCCTTGGACGCGGGCGGGGGCCGCTCGGGGAAGCGACCGCGCGCCCCCGCCAGCCCCGCGCCGCCGCCGTCCGCCGCGTCCTCCGGAAACTTCCTCTTGGCTTTGCCGCCGCCGCCGCCGCTGTCGGGACCCAGCTCGGCATCCTGGTGGCCGCCGCCACCGCCACCGCCACCGCCACCTCCGAGGCCTGGGGGCGCCGGGGAGCAGCTGCGGCCCCCGCGCGAGTTCTCCAGCTCCCGGGCCAGGTTGTGGAAGTCCGTGGACGGCTTCGCGCCCCCGCTGCTGCCGCCGCCGCCTCCGGGCGCCGCGGGCGCATTGGCGCCGTCGGGGGGCGCGGCCGGGTAGTGGTGCATGGGGCCCGCTTTGCAGAACTTGGGGCCCAGGGGCGCGTCCTGCGGCTGCTGCTGCTGCTGCTGGTCTTTGCCGCCGCCGCCCCCGTGGTCCTTGGCGCCCTGGTCGTCGTGGGGGGCGATGTCAGCGCTGTGCAGCCTCTTTGGGCAGCGGAAACGCAGGTGCGCCACGTAGGGGAACTCGAACTGGAAATGCTGGCTGCACTCCAGGCATGTGTAGGAGGACGACCCTGCGTAGCGAGCACGCACACACACACACAGAAAGACACCGCACGGTGACTCAGCATCGCCCCCAGGCCTGGTTGCCACCACCCGCTTTCGCAAATCTCCCTGCGTCTCCAGGGCCTGCAAAAAGCCACTGTGCGCGCCCCTGATCGAACCTTCCCTCCTCGCTGGGGAGGGGTTGCAGTCATCTCTCCAGGGTCCCCCGGTAGGCCTCGCCCTGCGTGTCCCAGCTTGGCTGTCTGAGCCCCATCTCAGAAGCCTCCTTTGTGTGTGTGGGGCGGGGGTGGGGGGACAACAGGCGGCCACCACCGCCACCGCGCGCGCGCGCGCGCGCGCCTCTTCCCGGGACGCGCGCCCCGCGAAGGCCACCACCACCGCAGCTGCGCGCGCGCGACAAGTGTGTGTGTGGGCGTGGGGAGGGGGCGTCCCGAGCCAACCTACCGTTCATTTTGCCCATGCATCGGGAAGGGCAGAGCAAGAGCAGCTCGGTGAGTTCCTTCCCGTACCAAACGAGCAGCTCCTCGTCTTTGGCGATCCTGCGGAGAGAGCGGTAAAACAGCTGTCCGTTTTTGATGTACGCTTCCAGGTTCTGCTCCTCTTTGTCTCTGGCGGACTGCACCAGCCGCAGCCACATGAGGCCTTCGGAGGAACCGTTCGCCGCGGAGGTGTCTACCTGCACAGTTTAAAACAGAAGGGGAAAAAGAAAAGAAAAGAAAAAAAAAAAGAGGCAAGAGAGAAGAGGAGGAGAGAGACGCACAGATGAGACAAGGAAGCCAGAGGTGGAAACCCAACATCGTTTTCTGCATGTTACAGTCTTTTTTTTTTTCCCCCCAAAAAATCATCTGAGACCAAGCTTTCCAAAAATCTGGCCTAAACCTGGGGCCTGTGTTCCTCCTGTTTGTATAGCCGGTTAGGTACGATAACCCATGGCACGAAACACTGTGTGCATCGCTCAGATCGTGGAAGTCTACAGTTTTCACAGATTGCTAGAACACCCAATGAAGGAAATGTCTTCTTAAAACATGTAGGATTAACCTCTTGAGCATTAGATTAATGCTTCTGAATTAGATCCCACGTGACAAAGGCATAGGGAATTTTGTGTTCGTTTCTAAGGTGATGGGGGTGGTAAAAAAAAAAAGCAAGCTTCCATGCCTGAAAATTGATCTAAAATAAAAAAAAAAAAAGCAAGCTTGAATCTTAGACATGACGTGGCATTTATTTATCTTCCTAACTTTGGCTTGAGCAATTAATAGGCTTTCTTGGTAAAGAGGGAATCACAAATGAGAGAGGCCTTTTTTTTTTAAGCGGAAACACCTGTATTTAATGGTGCTTTCCTGTCAAAACCAATAACATTTTAATTTAAACACAAGCTCTGCGGGTACCAGCTAGTGTTGCCAGAGAAAGTAATATTTGGAGGATGAGAAAGCCTCTAGCATTGCAAGGCAAATATACTCAATACTTGTAAAAAAAAAAAAAAGGACTTTCAGAAAGTAATGAGCATGCAAACAGCCTCAGCCTCAGGGGAAATCTCCCCAAGAGTTTAAGAAGTCACATTCATCATCGCCAGGAAAACTCAGAACTTAAGACCCTGCCTTAGACATTTCAGGCCGGCACTGCCTGTCATCCTAGCACTCTGGGAGGCCAAAGCGGGCAAATTGCTCCGAGGTCAGGAGTTCGAAACCAGCCTGAGCAACAGCGAGACCCTGTCTCTACTAAAAAATAGAAAGAAATTAATTGGCCAACTAATATATATATAGAAAAAAATGAGCCGGGCATGGTGGCGCATGCCTGTAGTCCCAGCTACTCGGGAGGCTGAGGCAGGAGGATCGCTTGAGCCCAGGAGTCTGAGGTTGCTGTGAGCGGGGCTGACGCCACGGCACTCACTCTAGCCTGGGCAACAGAGTGAGACTCTGTCTCAAAAAAACAAAACAAAAACAGAAACCACCCTGCCTTAGATATTTCTTTCATTCCCAAATCAAAATTTCTGTGTTATTTATTCCAGGAAAAAAAGAAATCAGTTGACCATCATTTGAGCTTAATTTTCCTTTTGTCTTTTTTTTTTTTTTTTTTTTCAGGGGGGATAGGGTTTCTCCCCATATAATCCTTCTCAACGTTGCATTTTCTGCACCCGGAAACCTGTCTCCAACGCGTGATTAGAGACGAGTCTTAGTTCATTTTCGACAGGACCGGCTGGGACGGGGACTCACCCGGAAGATATAAGGGACCGTCCTCTTGTCCGTAGACTTGAGAGCGATGAAAGCTATGCTGTCATACAGGGACGTGTGGCTCAGGACGCAGGGGCCGAATATAGCGTTCTCTGGGATGTCGCAGGTGGTGTACACGCTGGTGAAAATATCTGTTAGGCACTGCTGGACAGCTTTGGCCTCTCCATCCCAGATGCCTCTCTGGATGCTGGAATCCTCCATCACTGAAGACAAGACACACCGCACAAGGAAGTGAGTTCCCCGGCTCCTTTTTCCCTCTGCAAACCCCGGGGGGCAGAACATCTCAACTACTACACAGCTTTTCCTTGCATGCACTTGCCTCATTTTTTGCATAGCTCAGATGAATCTGGCATGAGGTTTTTTTTGTTGTTGTTGTTGTTTGAGACAGAGTCTCACTCTGTCACCGGGCTAGAGTGAGTGCCGTGGCGTCAGCCTCGCTCACAGCAACCTCCGACTCCTGGGCTCCAGCGATCCTCCTGCCTCAGCTGGGACTACAGGCATGCGCCACCACGCCTGGCTCATTTTCTCTCTATATATTTTTAGTTGGCCAATGAATTTCTTTCTGTTTTTTCGGGGGTCTCGCTCTTGCTCAGGCTGGTTTTGAACTCCTGACCTCGAGCGATCCGCCCGCCTCGGCCTCCCAGAGTGCTAGCATGACAGGCGTGAGCCACCAAGCCCGCCCTGCCCGGCCTGGCATATTTTAAAGATGCAAATAAGGGAAACTTTAAAAAATAATAATAATTGGAAATAATCAGAGGTCTGGAGCTTACTGGCTGCTTGGAAAAAAAGGAACAGAAAGAGATAGATAGGAAAGAGTAGGTCATTTTTTTTTTTTTTTTGCAACATCTTGGTGTCAAATGGGGTTTGGAGGTGATGGGGAGAAGAAATAATACTATTATTATTATTATCATTATTATTTTTTGCAGCCTATAGGTTTGCCTGCCTGGTAGAAACTTCTAACCCTTGGGGGAAATATTCTTTCCTCCTGTGCATTGAACTGGTGGATGCCCAAGAGCCCATTTTTTTTCCCTTCTTCTTCCAAAGAGGGGAGCAGCACTAGCCGGGCAGGCAGGGAGACAGCAGAGCGTGGCGAATGGATTTCAAGCCCAGTGTCAGGGCCACACTCTGCAAACCTCCAAAAAGGGACCTGCGTCTGCTCATTACCATAATCCAACGCAGTCCCTCCCGAGGAGGCTGTAATTAAAAGCAGCAAGCAGAGGTAATTTTTTTTTCCCCCTTCCTCGACATGCTTATTTATGGAGGAGAGAGAATCCCAGAGACCTGGTTATAGAAAAAAGGGGGTGCGTTGACTTGAGTCACACGGGCGGACCATGAAGGAGCAGGTACAGGAGACAGGCGTGAAGGGTCGGTCCCCTGTCTGGAAACGCTGTGTGTGGAATGACTCATGAATTCTCACCGCAACTCTCCCCCTACCCCCACGAACGACCCTGTTTGGGCAACAGGGACCAGATCCGCTTGAGTTTTTCTCCGTGTTTTTTCCCCTCCGGCTCTTTAATCCTCAGCAATTTAGAGAGCAATGAATGTCCCAGTGGAAGACTCTCTATTAAGCTATCATAAAGGGACAGTTACCTTCCTGAGCTAATGGACACCCCACACACACACACACAACACTTAACCATTAAAAAAAACAAAAACCCAAAAAACAAAAAACCACCACCGGCATTTCACATTCCAAACTAGCTTTGAACCGAGCTGCAGTGTCTCACTCTTCCTGGCCCATCCAAAGATTCCTCTGAGTTTGTTTTATCCTAATAACGTCCCGATCGGCATTCGTTGATGTACCCTTTGCATAATTTTAGCAGCGGGAAAGAGGAGACCTAATTCTTTTCCTGCAATGCCGTCCAATATGGGATAATATTAATAACGTCTATTTTTTTATCTTAATGTCTATGAACCGTTTAATCTTGCAAATGTGACCGCAGGGTAGCAGAGGTTGTTTTTTTTTTGGTTTTTGTTTTTTTTTCTCCTTTTCCAGCTAACATTGGCTAAAACTTTGGCCCGGCCTCTTTTTCCATTCATTCTCTTGCGTCTCCAAAAATGTCAAGCAGTCGGGCTCAATCTGCCAGACGGCAGCAGCAGCAGCCATAAGGGAAAAATATCCACAAAGCGGAAACTTTTACTACACGACATCATCTATCCCTGGGCGTATTTATTTACCCCCATGCAAATTAGCCTTCCTGATTTCCAGTTAATAAATAGTTTAATTTGTTAAATATGTTTAATAAATTTTAAAATATAATTATTTTTAAAAAAAAATCAGAACGTCTCATCTCATTTCTCCACTGCAATCCTATTCTCCCCTTTTCAGTTTCCTGCCATTCCGCCTGGTTGTGTGTGCCTCGATTTCTCTCCTCCTCCTTTTTTGCTTTTTCTAAAAAAAAAATCTCTTTTCACACTCAAGCGCCTCTTTGTGTTGGGGGAGGTCGCTTCCCGTCACTTGGGGCCCCATGGCAGCGGAGGGCACAGTCATTAAAGATGCGGTTCCACCTAACAATACGCGCGTAAAGATCCCGGCTGCCTGCGCAGCGCTCACGGCGGTCCGCGCGGCTCCCCGCCGGCTGGGCGGCCGCCGCGGGAGCCTCCGGCCGCGGGTCACCGTGACCGCGGTCGCCTGTGCCACCCAGCCTGTCCCGGCCCCGCGTCCCGCGCGCGCGCGCGCTAGGCCCCGGCTCGGCTCGCGCGCTGCGTGCGCTCGGGGACGTCCCCGCCGCCGGAGCCACCCGGGCCCGCAGAAAGCCACCGCCAGCCGTCCCCGCAGGCAGGCAGGGCAGGCATTGTCTGGCGGCCTGGCTCGCGCGACACCCGGTCCCCACTTCCCCCCTCTCCCCGACCCCCACGGGGGCAGGCAAAGTGCTCCTCACCTGCTCTTCCTTTTGTACAACCTCGGTGGCACGAGAGACAGAGACCCCCTCAACCCCTGTTGTCCTCAATTATTTCCCCTCCCCTCCTGTCTCTCTCTCTCTCTCTTTCTCTCTCTTTCTCTTCTGGACCGGGAGGGACCCAGGGACGACGACAACATTTCCCTACTCTTGCCACCAAACCTGCCTCCCTCCCTCCCTTCCTCCTTTCCCCCTCAAACCCCCTCCCACACCCATGCAGATTTTCTAGACTCACCGGGGAGAAACGAGGTCGGGATCCGAGAGATGGTCCCCCCCCAAAAAAATTTTCTGAGGCCACCTGGAACGGGAGGCGACGCTGGCGCGCGCGCCGGGAGTCGTGTGTCGCTTCTCCGCCTATTGTGTCAAGTGCGTTTCCATGTCAGGCAGGGGTTGGGGTTGGTGTCAGGTAGGGGCTGCCTAAATTAAAAGAGGAGAGAGATGGGGAGAAAGGAAGGAGAGGGAGAGAGAGGGAGAGAGAGAAGCGCAGAGAGAGAGAGAGAGTTGTACAGATGGACGCGACGCAGTGACTGACTGGCAGCCAGGCGCACACTTTTTGTTTGCCACACATAATCTGCTCAATGACGCGTGACAGCCCACGTCTCCTCCCTTTAACTCTTTGCTGCGCCGGGCGCCGCCGCCCGCCCGCCCGCCCGGCTGCAGCAGCCTCGCGCGCCCCGAGGTCGCGCGCCCTCCCTCCCTGCGCGGGTGGCGACCGTCCCGTCGTCGTGGTCGTGGTCTTGTGCCGCAGGAGCCCGGGACCTCCGGGACTGCACACCAGTGTCCGAGGTTGGAGAGGAGAGGGGAAAGCACCAAGAAGACTTAAAGAGGCCTCTTTCCCCCCCTTTTTCACCGGGGCCACTTGGAGAACCTCTCCGACGGCGACGGACAGAACGGGACACCCAGTGCGTGCGCGGGCCCGAGGTCCACGAAGTTGGGGGGCGTCGGGGGGAGGGGACAGAGAGCTGCAGATTAGCCCCACACACACACACACACACACACCCTGGAGGGAGAGACTCTCTGGCCACTGAGCCACCACTGAATTAATTGCACACGGGGCGGATGACAAACTGTCGCCAGCTCTCTTCGCGAGCGCTCGCAACCCCCAAGGCCCCTCGGGTTGCACGTTGCAGAGCCGGCGCGCTTTGGAGAGGACTTGGCTCAGCCTCCTCCTCCTCCTCCTCCTTCTTGTGGCCCAGGGGGGCGGAGAGTGGGGGGGTGTACCGGGTTAATAAGGGCCAGAGAGGGGCGGGGGTTGGGGGTGGGGAGGGACGGTCGCCAGATCTCGGAAGCAAAGGGGGCTCGCTCACAGAGGGGCTCTGGTCCCAGGACGCGAAGAACACAGGTTGCAGGGACTCAGGCTGTCCCTGCTCGTGTGACCCTCTGCGCGGGCGGCGGTGCCATCTGCCTGGAGGCTGGAGGACCCCGTAATGGGGGTGGGGATGGGTGGAGGAGGGTCTCCCAGCACTCTACGACCTCGGGGTCGAGGCGTGGAGGGGTGGGGGGTGATGCAAAGTGGAGATGATTGCAGAGAGGCGCTCTGCAGAGCTTGCGCGTCCAAGCGGCTGCTGGATGGAGCTGGGGTCTCCCGAGCCTCGTTTGCGCGCGGAGCCACTTAGAGGCGCTGGCTCGCTCGCCCCCCGTTCGTGCCGCAGCTGAGGCTAATGACTCTCCAGGTCTTTTAACGGCCTGAAAGTCGACTCCTTCTGCCCGCCCGGGGCTGCGACACGATTTCACTGGGGTGGAGGTAACCATGGCGTCTTTTATATGTTTTTTTTTGCAAATGCAATCTTACTTTTATTTTTTTCTCTTTTTTTTGAGCACAAAGTCTCAGCTTTTGTTGCCCAGGCAGAGTGAGGTGTCGCGTGGCATCGGCTTAGCTCAACAGGCAACACTCAGACTCCTGGCCTCGAGCGAGCCTCCCGGCCAGCTCTCCTGCTAGCTGGGACTACAGGCTGCCACCATGCCGCTCAATTATATATAATTATTATATAGTAATATATATAATAGCTAATATATATAAGGGTTAAGGCTAATTGCTTTCTTATTACAGTGAAAACAGGGTCTCCTCTGCCAGGCTGTCGAACCCACCTCGAGCGATTCCTCGCCTCGACCTCCAGAGTGCTGGGATGACAGGCGTGAGCCACCGCGCCCCGGCCTTGCAGTTCAATTCTCTACTTCTAAAGGAAGGGAGGCCTTCCGGTGGTTTAGACAGACAGCCCCTCAGCTCCCTGAGCCTCGCCCTTCACAGCTGGCTACTTGCGAGCAGGCCACCGTGTAGCGTCAGGAGCAATGGGATCGCGGCCGGCTAGAACAGAGGAAGCAGAGCCGCCAGGGCTCAGACTGGGAGCCAGCTCTGGCTTTGCCAAGGGTTGAAGCAGGTGAGTCTTTGGAGCAGGGCGAGTTGGTGTTCGCTGGATCCTCTTGCAGCTCTGAGAACCACCCCCCCCTTCTCTGGAACCCACTGGGGGAGTGGAGGCTCTGGCCTCCAGGAGCCCGGACTGCAAGGAGGCCAGGCAGGGATTTGCCCAGGAGACATGGCCAGTGTGGGCAGCGTGCCACTGCATTGGTCCTCTCCCTTTGTCTCTGTCTCTGCTTCTCCATGTGTGTGTGTGCTTGTGAGTGTCTCTGTGTGTGTGTGTCTCTGTGTGTGCATGTGAGTGTCTCTGTGTGTGTGTGCATGTGAGTGTCTCTGTGTGTGTGTGTCTCTGTGTGTGCATGTGAGTGTCTCTGTGTGTGTGCATGTGAGTGTCTCTGTGTGTGTGTGCATGTGAGTGTCTCCTGTGTGTGTGTGTGCATGTGAGTGTCTGTGTGTGTGTGTGCCATGTGAGTGGTTGTGTTGCTGCCATGTGAGTGTCTGTCGTGTGCTGTCGTCATGTGCGACGTGTCTCTGTGTGGTGTGCATGTGAGTGTCTGTGGTGTGTTGCATGTGAGGTGTCTGTAGTGTCGGTGTTGCATCGTGAGTGTCTGTGTGCTGTGTGCATGGCATGTTGACAGTGTACTGTGGTGTGCATGTGAGTGTCTTGTGTGTGTGTGCATCA